GGGGGAGCGCTTCAGACGTCTTCCCACTCAGTCTCTCTGGGCTCTCCTAGACCACCTCTCTCCTCCTCTCACCCCAGCATTCAAGCCCCCAGTTTGGGATTCCTTGGGGTTGTCATGGAAACAGGGAGGCCAGACTCAGAGAGGCGGTGAGACTAAGCAATGGAAAGAGGGAAGGAGAACGCTCTAATCTCCCTGTTGCAAGACCCTCTGCATGGATTACACTGTAACAGGAAGCGAGCTGGTGCTCCAAGATTTGGATAGGATACCACCCCCACCCCCGGGACTCACCTCAGACAGGTGCCCAATCCTCAGTGTTCCTCAAGGAGCGCAGAAAAACCCTTGGAAAAATTTCCCCAAAAATGCCCCTCCCAAAATTATCCTAGTTTCCCCTTCCTCAAGATGATAATCGTGTTTACATCAGGACTGTGTACACACTCGAGGGGACCTGTGATGGTCTGAAAGGTCCCCAGGATCAGGGCCTTGCCTGTCGCCTGGGCCTGGGTTGAATCTGGAGGCACTGCTTTGGCTGGGGGGGGGGGGGGTGGGGGGGTAGCTACCCCAAGATCTTCGTCTAAGCGCTGGGTGGAAGGAACGAGTCCTTCGATGTACAGGGATGGGCCTAGGTCCCACAAACTCAATCACCGGACTGGATCACCCCGCGGGAAGAAAAGAAGGCGGAGCCTGCCGACCTGGAGGCGGGGTTTTATCGGAGCTGGGGCGGGGCCTGCGAAAGGGGCGGGGCCATGGGGACCAGGCTTGAGGCTGCGGAGCAGAGGCACCGGGAGCTGGGCTGGGGGCGCTGCACTTGGAGGGTGGGGCCTGCAGGGGGTCCCGTGAAGCGAAGTCCCGGGGGTGGGGGGTGGGGGTGGACTTTGGGGAGGGGGGTTCCTGAGGAACTGGATTCGGAGCGTGCTCGCCAGGTGAGGGGTTCCGTGGAGGCGGCGTTTGGGGTCTATCCTCGTCGGGCGGCTCCGGAGGCGGGTGTGCAGGTGCCCCGGGACTCCGTGGCGGGACTGCTAAAGGCCCTAGGAAGGGCGCGGGGCGGGGCGGGGCCGGGGGGCATCCCTAGGGATCCCAGTAGTTCTCGTGATGCTGCGCGGCGATGATGATGACGACGGTGAGGATGGTACACAGCACCATGGCCGCGATGCCCACGGCCAAGGAGATGAAGGAGAAGTTGCGGGCCTCGCGCGAGGCGATCTCGGCCGACACCATGTCTCCGCGGGCCAAGGCCGTGCGCACCTGCGGGAGGATGGAACAGCGAGGCTGAGGGCCCAGGTCGCAGCCTCCTTCGAAGACACCCCGGGCTCCCAGGAATTAAGTAGCAAAGCCCCCCGCCCCCTCTGCCCCCCACACCCACCTGCACTGCCTTGAAGATGGCGATGATGCCGGTGGGCCAGAAGCAGCAGATGGTGGTCAGCACCGCGATGGGCATGTAGTCGTGCGGCGGGCGCCTTGGCTCCAGCAGGGCCAGCCCTGGACCCTGGGGCGGCGGGGGAAGCGTGGAGGTCACCCCCGCTCCCCCCGGGGCCCCGCCCGCATAGGGCTGTGGAAGGAAGATTGGGGGAAGGGGGTGTCACTCCAACCCTCTCCATCCCACTAACCTCACGGCTGGCAGAGAGAGCAGTGGTAAAAGCCTTTGTTGCTGGGAGCGCAAGGAACTAGTTCGCCGGTGACCCTGCGCGAGGACACCCAGAAAGCCCGCCTAGACTGCCTCCTTTGATGGCTTTATTAACCTCCAAATAGTTTCCGGTTTCCACACCCCTTTGTCCCCAGGCAGGGCGCCTCTAACTGTATCCCTGCCTCTGTGGTTTCTTTCTCTTAACGACCACCTCCATCAACCCAGTTTCTCCCCCCCACCCCCACTTGCCCTTGTATCCCTAGGTCCTCAGGTTCCATTTTGCCCTCCTCCGGAAGACGATTTCCTTTATCCAGACCAATTCTGGACCTCCAGACTGCCTCAGCCAGGCCCTGACCGCTCAGCCCAACCAATCCCTAGGCTCCAAACCAAACCAAACCTTCACACAAACCTCACTATCATTAGGTAGATTCCGACCCCAAGTGACCCTATTGAACAGGGTAGGATTGTCCCTGTGGGTTTCCCAGGAGATTGTAACTCGTCATGGTAGCAGAGCGGCTGGTGGTTTCGAACTGCTGACCTGTGGTTAGCAGCTCAACACATAGCCACTAGGCCACTTCTTAAGGATTCCTCCTCAGGCTGTGATCTTTCTTCCAAGCCCAGCGTTCCGACTCCAACTGGCTCCCAAGTTCCATCCCCCCACCCCCCTTTCCAGGCCTGGTCTAGTCTTCCCTGTGGCCAGGCCCCGAGTTCTCTAGTTCTCTAGCTCGATTGCGCCAGCCCAGGGAAATCCCCAGCTCCAGGTCCCCCTCCATCCTGCCCTCCTCCCAGGCCCCTGCCTGCCCAGCACTCACCGTGCCCACAGGGTAGACGGGTACATAGGCAGTGCATGGCTGCAGCTGCAGGGGGTAGCCTGGGGCCACGTAGCCCCCCAGCGGCAGCGTGCCCACCGTCCCCGCGTGCGTGGGCACCACGAAGCCCGGGGCCTGGGCAGTCTGCGAGGGCGCTGGCGGGGGCGGAGCGGCCGCGGCGGGCGGCGGGGGCAGTGGGCCCTCGAAGCGAGTCTCCTGTAGGTAAGGGTCGGGTGGCATGCGGGGCAAGGTAGCACATCCGGGCGGGGGTGCCCCGGCGCCGGGTCCGGGCGGGGCGTGGTGCGGGGGTCGTGGCAGCGTGGCAGAAGACGAGGGGCCACGCTGAGCGCTGGCGGAGGAAGAGGCCAGGCCGCCGGCTCCTAAGCGCGGGAGGGTGGCGGTGCCGGATTGGTGGTAGTGGTGGTGGTGGTGATGGTGAGAGGAGGGGGCGGTCTGCAGGGGTGGCGCTGGAGGTTCGGCGGGGGGCTGAGGGGCATTGTACGGGGGAGGGGAGGTGTGAGGGACCGAGTCCGGTAGGCCTGGGCCGGTGAATTGGGGAGAGGGTACACACAGAGATAAGACAGACAGGTGAGATAAGGAGGGCAGGGGAGAAAACACGGACGGCCAGAGATGGAGAAAGCAAAGGTAAGAGACAGAGAGACCTGTGAGACCCAATCTCTCATTTTGGGAGGGCAGGCTTGGGGTTATATCTAGGCCACCTGCCCCCCCTTCCTTCTTTCAAAATAGTTTTGAGGTCACACTCACTCCTGTCCCCTCTCCTTCAGCAACTTGCGTGCCACAGCAACCTCCGTTCCGGCCTGTCACAGAGCTAGTCTCGCCTGCGCATATGCATTTGTGCAGACCTGCCTTAACGGGTTAGCCTGCGTTCAATTCAACAGTTGTTTCAATACATGTGGGATGGCATGGTCTGCTTCCCTGCTCCTTCAGGGGAGAAGGGGTGCCCTGGCCTCTTGGGGAATCTCAAGACCTCTTGAAAGACAGATAAAGCAGATTCCTAAGGATTTCACTTCCCAGCCACCCCCCACCGGATCCTGTCTCCATCTTGCCCCACTGGGCGTCTCTAGGCGAGGTTGGGAATGCCCATCTGTTACTTCCAATGAGGCAGTTCCTGCGCTACCTGGCTGAGCTAAGCCACTCTGGCAACTCCCTCGTCCCCTCCACCTGTCCCCGTCCCCTCCACCTGTCCCTGTCCCAGGTCGCTGGCAGGGGGCATAGACAGACGAGAGGGAGGAAAGGAAGAGGGGTGGGGGGAATAGAGAGGGTGACTGGGGTGCTGGGGGCTGGAGAGGAGGGTTAAAGACCACTGCCCTGGGGTGGGTTGTGGGGGAAGGGGCTAGGGTCAAGATTGGGAGGAGAGAAGGGAGGGTGGTTGCTGTTTATGGTCCTATGGATGATTTTTTTACCTGACTTTTCGGATGCCATGCCTGCGTTCTGTCCGGGACGAGGTGTCTGCAGCGGGATCCCAGTCCCTCACCAGTGGCGGAGTCAGAGTGCGTGGATGGCGCAGCCGGCCAGCAGCGCAGAGATGGAGAGATGGAG